CATTTACTAAGGAACTTGCTTTACTTTAGGATGGAGAGAGATCCATGTAACGGCTGGCATTTATATTTTCAGAAAAAGAGGTTCAATTATGATTTGGTTCTTCATCCCAGCACCTGGTGGAAAAAGAGAGCTGTCAGAGCATCTGGATGAGTTTGATTTGGATGTCTGCAAGCATATCCCCCAAATTATCTAACAACTCTAACTGAATGTAATTTTCACATCTTCATATCAACCATATTATTTCTTTTTCCCCTTTGCCTTTCATATTTTGGGCTTCATTTGCTATTTGACTTGATCAGCAGTCTTAAGTTGGAGTCTTGTGTGCTATTTGGTGATCTTTTGTCGCCATCATAAAGGCATTGCCCTAATATGGAATGTGTCTATATGTGCATGCATCTGGCAAACACAGCTGGATATAGAGATTCCAAATGTATGAATATAAGTGTTTAAAGGAATGTATAGATATATATACATTATCCATTCACATGCTGGAGTGAAACACTAGTGTAACACTAATGAACAGTATAAAATTTTACCATGAAAAATATAGACCTGCCCTTATAGGGAAAGAGGTGGTTGGAAGCTGTTAAGCCTACTTTCTCTTAATTCTCTTTTGTTTCATGGCGATCTTCATTTTGGTAATTAACTTAATTTGGGCCTTATACATTAATGCTTTGTTCTGATGGTCCAGTGCTTTTAGGAGGAGAAATTAAAGCCCATCTTAAAACCCACTATAGTACCTTTTGTCCTTTGCAGAAAGTAAATGCAAAAAAGAAAGTTTTAGAACCCTGACTCCTCACAAAGTGATGGGGTGGGGGCAAAGCTTTCTGTATGTTAAACAGTCTTGTGGACATCTGGCATGATTGGTTTTAATCTGCTAGCTAAAAAGTCAGGATTAAATCTTGCTTTACACCTCTTTGTACTGCAGTCAGTAAAGTGACAGAGCTGGCCTGAAACAATGACACTACTTATTCCACCCAATATGCCATGTGGTAGATCACCCCCTTTTTTTTTTTTTTTTTCAGTACCAGTTCTCCACGAAGACAATGAAGCATCTGGTGGGCTTTTCCTGTGTCCAAAGTGGGGGGTTTTTTTGGTCAGTAATTTCACTCAGCTGGTCTGCTTAGTCCTCCCCTGATGCTACTTTTTGAGACTGGGTGTGCCAAACCCAGTGGTAGGAGGTCAAGAGGCCAAAGTGATGAATTTTTATGTGCCTGTTCCTTGTGTTTCTGCTCAGTCATGATTCTTTACGTGCTGTGCTGCTTCTGAAAAGGAGCCACTGTGGGCAATTTGTCCTCCTGGCCTGGAGAGAATGGGGAAGCAGATGAGTTAAAACTGCATGTATAACTTTAAACAGAGGAACACACCAATGTGCTTTTACAGTGGGACATAATGCTTCTGTCAGTGCAGACTGTTGGAGGTACCCTGAGATCTGTGGTTCCTTGACATTTGAACAAGTGACAAATGCATTTAATAGTTCCTGAAAATATACCATAATCTACAGGAAAGAATAGCAGTTCAGGAGGCTATTGTTAAAAGATAGTACGGTAACACTGATATCATGAAGTGATTGTTTTAGTTGTTCTATTCAGTTCATGCTAAGAGGTCTGAATTTATTTTCCTTTCCTATTCTCATTAGTGAAATGATTTTACATTGTCATTGCGATTATAAAAATGACATATTTTGGTTAAATGGTGCTTCTCTGTATCAGATGTTTGGAAAATAATTCTGGGGTTGAAGTCTCATGCTTATATTACATTTATCCCAGTTTTTTGTAACAGTTACCTGGTGGATCAGAAATGAGTAGGACTCTAACAGACTTAACCCTTGTTGGCATATAAGTGTATATAGTCAAACAGATCATAATCTAGAAGTTATCTAGGAATTACAGATTGAGGAGAGGGAAGCAGCAAAGCATAATCTTCAGAAAAATTACATCTTTAATTTGAAGAGGTTATTTTGCTGAACTGTCTCAAAGATGAAACAGCCAGCTATGAATATTGACACAGGACCTATTTTGCATGTTATTTTAAAGAAAATGTCCTGTAAGTGCATATCAACTTCCATAATTACCATTACTGCGGCCACAGAGGAACAAACAGCAACCAGGCACCCTTCACTGAAGTTGGCTCCTTCCAACTAACAACTTCCACTGCAGAAATCATCAGAGGGAAAAGAACAGGGCCAGCAGACTCGTAAGACAGAGTCCAGCTCTGACTTACATGGCAAACCAGGGACTTAGGTGACAAACTAGGGTACCTTTTCAGCATCACTTTAGGCTATCTAACCCCCTTCTGCCTGGATCACATGACTGGCCAAATTGCTTCATATCTTCCTGAGCACCATTACCACCCAGGAGTGTGACCACTTTTGCTGTATGGTATTTGCTGTTGAAAACAGTGCTGCCTTTAGAACACTTTAGGGACCCAACCCTTACTTTAGTTTGAACATAGCTCATACTAAAAAGAAACAACTGTAGTAGTAGTGTTTTTCTTGCCTTCTCTCTTCACGTCTCTTTTAGTACTTTAAAGAAGAAACCACTAGAATTCACTATTTTAATTTTAAATGCCAGAGAGAGGCATGGAAGCTGGAGAAAGAGAGGTTGCTCCTATATTCACATATAACATGTTTTTAATGCAGTACCTCCCTGCTGAGGTAATATTCCCTTGCCCCACCTGAACTGATTAAGAGTTCTACTTATCCAAAATATCAACCTCCTGTTTTGGGGAGGGAATAGCATCACAACTGTAATCATACAACTAAATGTGATTACAAAATTAATCACACTTAGTTGGCTCAAAATTACTTATGTACATTATCTGCTTATTTTTATAGTTTTATTTTAGTATTCCAGATATACTGAGGATAAGCACAGTATTGACATCTTTAACTGCCCTTTGCAAAGTTGAAAAGCTCAGTGTAAACAATCAGAAAATCAAGGTATTAATCTAAACTCAAAAGATCACACCTGGCAGGAGAAATAGAATTGAACAGGTATATGTTTCTAAGGATCTTGGTATTTGTTTATGAGCCTTTTTGTCATGAACTGAGCACTTTAGATATTCTGGCAATTGTGCTCTTAAGAGAATGAATGCAATCCTTAAAATATTCTAGGCAAAGAGAGGCCATTTTGTACTAACAACTTGTAAATTATTTAAGGCTAAAGTTATCCCTCCCTTTCTCTACAATGTGCATTTAGCTGGTTTAAAAATGTAATAGAGATGCTATGCTTTCTGGCTTTCTCCCAAACAGCATTTTCTTTCTAGTTTTCAATCATGCTAAAAGACTCATTAGACAATGCATTTGGACATTGATTACCAAGTTGACCACAGTTCAGCCCCTATACCACAGGAGGTATTAAAAATAGCATCTCTTCAATAGTGTGCTTTTTAGTCATCATCTGTCATTCTCTCTAGTAACATTTAATGCTTTGCCCCCTGCAGTGTTATTTGGAAAATGCCATAATATCCTTGTGCAAAGTTTGCAACATATAATGTCCCATTATTGGCATATAATGTTCCATTATTCATTTTACAGACACCCTAACTCATTGAAGAATTTCAGGCAGGGAGCTTAAGTTCTATCTGTCTTATGAATAAACTGAGTTAGAATAGTTATTGGCTTCACACAGATTTGAACTCATCTGATAAGGTGATAAAATGGTGACTGGGCTGTAATACTTCAGACATTTGAAACCTCATGTAACAAAACATTCATACATGGCATGTAAGGGAAAAAACTAGTTAGATTCCTCTTTCCTAACATTTTATCTATGCAGATATTTTGCTGGTGGTGGGGTGTATGGTTGTTATTTACTCAGCAGTTTAAAGTAAAACAAACCAGATTCAAGTTTACTTTTCCACAAATGACAGTGTACAGTGTGCATTCAGACATAATGCTAAATCATAACTGGTGCAAAAATCTGGTTAATCTCTGAATTGAGTGCTTATCTTTTTTTTTCTGGCATTAATTAACAAAGGGAGATTGGAAATATTTATTTCAATTTTTAGCTTGTCCAGAAATAGATTTTTTGTGTTACTTAGGTTTTAAAGAAAGAAGTCAGGATGGTAAGCCAAGGTTTGAAGTTGTTTCCCTCAACTACTGTTCGCGGTAATAGTTTATCTGAATCTGAAAGTATAGAATAATTGCAGTAAGTTGAAAACAGAAGTGAAAACTTATGGTTTTCACATTAAAGGTGAACCACAGAATATTAGAAGGAGAAGGATGTATGTTTGATGCATGTAATATTATCCTACAGGTTAGCAGTAGGTACAAATTATACCACTACATACAACTCCATCAGCATATCCTTCAACATGCCCTGTGGCTATTCTCAAAGTAGAATTTTGAGTAGAAATTTTTATATAAAACTGGGTGAAGTCTTTGAGCATGTTTGCACAATATGACAAGCCAGGCACATTAGGTATCAGAAAACAGGGCTCTTTCTGCACAGTTGATCCTATCTCTGACCCACAAAATCTGGAAATAGAAGTCTTTGTTGCAGGGGTATTCACAGGGTATGGTCAAAAAAGTCAAAAGGATGGCCATAATGGTGCAGTTGAAGCTCCACCTATTTTCTAGGTTTATTGCAGGCAAAACTCCAACCACACAATTATGGCCACCCTCTTGACTTTTTTTTAACCATACCCTGAGGACACCTCTTGCTTTGTTGCTTACTGTTTTGCATGTCACCCCTTCACCCTCATGAATAAAACAAATGACATCATTGGCATTTAGAGTTGGGCAAGAGATAAATACTCATACCCCTTGCTTTTTGTAATTTCATTTTAGCTTATGCAAAATAAAACAGTGGTAGAATCTTGCAGCTATATAAAAAATCCTTTTCATAAACAATAAAACCATCACATTTAAAACCTTTTTTTTTAATGTGGGAAAGATTAATTTGTTTAGTTTTGTATTATTTTTGTAATCTGTGTTTTATTATTGAAACATTCATTCTCATTACTCATTCCACATTTATTTTGGATCAATATTTTTTCTTTATAGCAGCAACTGTAAAATTCAAACTCACACAAATTAGATGTTATAAATTGAATCAGAATGCTCATAACTTTCTCACTTTGTACTCATGCTGCTCCAAAATGCAGGGAGATACAATTGTTGGGAATTTTATTTTCAAAGCGGCAGAAGAAACATCAATGCATTGCTTCTTGTAAGTAGTAGCAAGTGTGCCAGCTCTCAGTTCAGCATAAAGTGGGCTCTTATCCAGTCATTTTCTTCTGTTTCCACATGTGAAAAAAGTGTAATTTCAGAGTAGAAAGGTAACTTAAAATGCAAATGTTCATATCTTCACTCATTTGTGTATTACTACTGTCCATAAATTGTTTTAAAGTAGCTCTACCTAAATTTGTCTTGTTTCCATATTATTCTTCTAATGTCCAGCTTTCTTGATAAATGCTTTTAATTTGTCACTGTGTTGGAGAATATTATTATTGTCACCTTCAAGTTAGAATGTTCAGCTTATCAAAATGTCACTTAAATATGTTAACTGCATATTGAAACCACTGTTGATAAAGCATGTGTACACTATGGTGCCTTTCCTCAGTTAAATTCTGATAAAGTTCATTTCTCAGTTTGAAACATGTGACAAAACATTTCCTTGAGACAGCCATTTTGACTCATGTAAAACATAATGAAGTGTATGACACTCATCACTTCATAAAACCTTCACAAAACAAAAGACATTCCTTGTCTTTACATGCCTGTTTTTTTGTATAATTTACAATATTTATAGATATTCATAGAATCTTCTCCAGTGCAGAGTTGAAATCTTCTCAGGCAGGTGTTTGCTTATTAATCTCTCATTGTGTCCAAACCCCAGTAGGTGATTTTTGACATATCAGAAGCTTGAAGTCCTTTATGATAACCTGGGATAGAGCTTGCTCCATCAGTACATATTCCCCCACAGACAATTTTAAAAGATTTGCATTCATATAATTATCAGTAATATCAAAAAGGTCCATAGCTTTACACATCCCTAATTTCATTACAGAAAAACACATTCTCATTTATTTTACCCTCAATCAACAGATCTAACATGTTATTAAATGAGTATCCTCAACACTATCCATCATCTCTATCTAAATGGCAAATTGTTTCTTAGCTTTTAAATTAGTTAGTCATTTAGATCTCTGTTCTATCTGTGATTTGGCACAAAACAGTGTAATTAGACACAAGGATACTTAAAAGCTTTTTGGCACTAGACTCCCTTAATACAGATGCAACCATATCAATAAAAGCTGGAAGAATGAAACTTTTTCCAGTTGTCCGATGCATTTTGCACTGGGCAATTCTGAATGCAAATTGATAAGAAACAAGAAGTAATTCATATATTTATCTAGACTTGCATTTTTTCTTCATTTCATCTCTTTTTTGAATTAAAAAAAATAAAATTTGTTAGGTAAGTCTGAATAATTTGCTTCCGCATTTTTTCAGACTTTTTCTCATAAATAGTACACTATTGGATGTTAATCCAATAACAAAAACCACTTATGAAACCAAATAATTCCATCACATTTTCTTGATATAGGGTGAGTTTAACAGCACTAATGGAAGATTACCTTACTCGGGAACTTGTGGGTAACACTGTAAGACATATGTAAACTAGAAAACAAGAGAAGAAGAATGATGTACAAAAGGACAGCATCGTTTTAGGGAAAAGTATATGCTTCTTGTATTGAAACAACGATATCCTGATTCTTGTAATTATTAGTCTAGAAACAGCAAGATTTGTACACATCTAGAACGCTCAGTTGTTAGTACTAGCACTAACATTCAGTAAACTTTTTAAAATTTATTTTCAGTTTTATTTGTGTATATAAAATTAAGAATCATATATGCATATTGGAAGGCATATACAGTGCATTCGGAAAATATTCAGACCCCCCTCACTTTTTTCAATTTTGTTATGTTGCAGCCTGATAGTACAATCGTTCAAACTCATTTTTTTTCTCATTAATCTATACTCAGTACCCCATAATGACAGAGTAAAAACAGAATTTTAGAAATGTCTGTAAATTTATTAAAAAGGAAAAACTGAAATATCA